TCTTCCTGGGCAGAACCCAGGGTTGAGTGGAGGGTCCTTGCCCAGGCCTTTCAGGAGCCAGGCCTGAGAGGAGCTGGGGTTTGTCACTGCCTCCATCCAAGGTTAGAATGATGTGTAAAAGAGCACTGTGAGTGTAGGACAACCAACAATTCCTTCTCCTCCTCTAGTATGAAAATACCAGTCATAAGGCAGGGTTATTGGCAAGAGCAGAGACTTTGAAGTCAGATTGCTCTGGGTTTGAGTCTCATCACTGACACTGACTAAGAGGCTTTGGTCAATGCTTTTGGCCCTAATGCATCTTTACTTATTTGACCATTTCCCTATTGATGGACATTGAGGTTGCTTCCATATTTTTTCTCCTCTCCAACCACAGGTGCTTGGGTCACTTGGGTGGGTCATTCTTTGGCTATTTCCCTACCTCCTGGGCTTTCTCAAATTTTAGATCTTGGAGGCACAAGCCAGACTGCATTCTTCACAGAGCCTTGCAGGGCTGCCTCAAAGCCATGAAGGTAGCTACTATTTCCTCTCCTCCACCTCTTTTCTCTATAGCAGTCACAGCACTTTCAATACTGAAGAAGCCAACACATATTTTGAGTGCCACAAAGGTGCTAACAGGGCTGGTGCCCCCCAGGCTGCAGTAAATTGGGAGAGAGTTCAATCTGAGGTGGCCTCTAACTTGGAGGGCTTACAAGGGTGGCTGCATACCTGTAGGAGGATGGGGTGAGTGTTGACGGCCAATGTATAGAGCAGCCTCAGTTTGTCGCGGTCTGTGAAGTGGTCCATGAAGATGCTGCCGGCGTCAGCCACCTCTGCATAGCGCCGGACCACCCGGTCCAGGAGTCGTTGTGATGGGCAGCGCAGGAGGGGACTGGACAGACCCTGTAGCATGTGGGAAAGACCCCGGGATGGGGAAGAATGCTGAGTGTTTCTGTGGGCAGGCAGGAGGGGTCACAGGCAGGCCTTCCAGTGGGGGAAATCTTGGAGTTAGGGGGAACAGGTGAGCCAGGGAGAGCAGGGAAATATCTTGGGGAGGGGGTGCACTGTGTAGATGGGAGAAGTGGGAGATTCCCTAGAGTGGGGGAGAGGGGTCAGAACATTCCTGGGAGGCAGTGCGGGAAGGGGTCCAGCAGGCTATGAGGGTGGGAGATGAATTGGAAGCCCTGTAGTGGAGAAACCTGAGCCCTCCTGGGCAGCAGTGTAGGGAGGCGCTGGACGTGGTGTGGGAAGGAGGAGCTGGAAGGGCAGGAAAGGTGACCCCTCCTTACCCCCAGCCCCCAGCAGGCAGTCTGAGCCTTGGGATACCTGCGTCTTCACACGGTGTTGCACTCCGACCCTGCCCCCAGTCCATCCAATCAGCTCCTGCACTCTGCCTTTCAATTCTTTCCACCATTTCACTAGGACATCACTGCGACTGTGATGCTACACGTGAACACTTACTTATGTGCTGCTTTGTTCTTCTTGAGATAAAACTTGGAGATATAGACCTAGGTTTATTTTCTATGACCTTCTAGCCTGCCCCTATACCTTTCTCCTCATGCTGAACAAAAGGACAGTGAACCTACTAATAAATGAGAAGAAACATAGGAAAAATAGGAACAGGACCCTGGGGCCAGTCTGCCAGAATTCAACCCAACTTCCATGCCTACCAACTGTATGGCCTTGGACAAGTTACTTAGTCTCTCCGTACCTCTGGTTCCAGTCTAAAATAAGGGTGACAGTAATAATACCTAAGAGGCCATGAGGATCAAATAAGTTATTAGATGCAATTAAATAGATACGCAGTAATTAAATTAATCCTCCCAGATACTCAATGAGGTAGCTGCTATTATGAGAGTCACTTTGCAACTAAGGAATTAGAAGTTTGGAATGTAGGTAATGGTTGCAAGGATTGGAGTCAGGATTTGAATCCAATTAATTAGGAGCTGATACTCATGCCTTTTCCCCGTAAGAGGTCCTGCCCCACCCCATCCCATAAGCTACCCAGCTGGAAACAATGCATGACTTGAAGCCATGAGAAGGCCTCTTTTCTTCTGATATTCTTGTCCAACACAGCCTAAAATTTCATCATTAGATATGGTAACTGGGGGCTGAGATGTGGGGGAAAGTTAATTTTTCTCTAAAAGCCAATTATTATTTTCTTTTTAATTGCTAGAGGGCACATCCACTTGTCAGAGAGAGATAGAGAGACAGAGCCAGACAGGGAGAGGGAAAAAACACTCCTCCAATGGGCTGTGGTCACACCACAATCCTTTCTCCCTCATTTCTTCATCCTTTTAGGGTTTTGAGCACACACAGACACATGGTTTTCAAGCAAGTGGGGCCAAGATTTGAACCCTGTCATCAGCCATGTGAGATCTGGCTTCTTTAACCACTAGACTATAGGGCCAGCCTGAGCCAATTCTTTATATTTTTTCCCCCTTTATTCATGATAGAGCACATGCATGTGAGAGTGAGAAAGTAAGGGGTGGGAAACCTTCACAGGGTCTAGTCATGCCATGATCTCCTTTCTCCAATCTTCCAGCCCTCAGATCCTGGGCACTTGTGTGTTTCAGTGTGTTCAGGGTGACTGGGCAGGGGACTTGAAACTTGGTCACGATGTGGGATTCAGCTTCTCCTGAGCAGTGCATTGCTGCTATGCCACTGAGCTGGCCCAAGGGCCAACTCTTAAATGATAATACTTCAGAGAGAAGTAGGATACTAACTGACCAGAACAGAAGCAATAATAACAGATAATAATTATTGAGGGTTTTATAACAGGAACTGTTCTAAGCCTCTCACAGGTAGCACATTCATTCATTTGCTCAAAAGGACAGTGAACCTACTAATAAATGAGAAGAAACATAGGAAAAATAGGAACAGGACCCTGGGGCCAGTCTGCCAGAATTCAACCCAACTTCCATGCCTACCAACTGTATGGCCTTGGACAAGTTACTTAGTCTCTCCGTACCTCTGGTTCCAGTCTAAAATAAGGGTGACAGTAATAATACCTAAGAGGCCATGAGGATCAAATAAGTTATTAGATGCAATTAAATAGATACGCAGTAATTAAATTAATCCTCCCAGATACTCAATGAGGTAGCTGCTATTATGAGAGTCACTTTGCAACTAAGGAATTAGAAGTTTGGAATGTAGGTAATGGTTGCAAGGATTGGAGTCAGGATTTGAATCCAATTAATTAGGAGCTGATACTCATGCCTTTTCCCCGTAAGAGGTCCTGCCCCACCCCATCCCATAAGCTACCCAGCTGGAAACAATGCATGACTTGAAGCCATGAGAAGGCCTCTTTTCTTCTGATATTCTTGTCCAACACAGCCTAAAATTTCATCATTAGATATGGTAACTGGGGGCTGAGATGTGGGGGAAAGTTAATTTTTCTCTAAAAGCCAATTATTATTTTCTTTTTAATTGCTAGAGGGCACATCCACTTGTCAGAGAGAGATAGAGAGACAGAGCCAGACAGGGAGAGGGAAAAAACACTCCTCCAATGGGCTGTGGTCACACCACAATCCTTTCTCCCTCATTTCTTCATCCTTTTAGGGTTTTGAGCACACACAGACACATGGTTTTCAAGCAAGTGGGGCCAAGATTTGAACCCTGTCATCAGCCATGTGAGATCTGGCTTCTTTAACCACTAGACTATAGGGCCAGCCTGAGCCAATTCTTTATATTTTTTCCCCCTTTATTCATGATAGAGCACATGCATGTGAGAGTGAGAAAGTAAGGGGTGGGAAACCTTCACAGGGTCTAGTCATGCCATGATCTCCTTTCTCCAATCTTCCAGCCCTCAGATCCTGGGCACTTGTGTGTTTCAGTGTGTTCAGGGTGACTGGGCAGGGGACTTGAAACTTGGTCACGATGTGGGATTCAGCTTCTCCTGAGCAGTGCATTGCTGCTATGCCACTGAGCTGGCCCAAGGGCCAACTCTTAAATGATAATACTTCAGAGAGAAGTAGGATACTAACTGACCAGAACAGAAGCAATAATAACAGATAATAATTATTGAGGGTTTTATAACAGGAACTGTTCTAAGCATTTCACAGGTAGCACATTCATTCATTTGCTCCTCATGAGAACTTATTATTGCTACATTTTAGAGATGGCAATACTGAGATGTAGTGAGATTATAATGCTATAGAAATGATGCTGCATGGGTTTTTGAGCCTAGGTCATAAAAGGTAATCAGCTTCTAACTGGCTCTCTCAGGATGCTTACTCTTGTGCCCAGCCACCATGCTGTAAGGAAGCTAGGTCACATGGAAAGGCCCATGTGGAAAAACAAGCCAAAGCAAAAAAATCCCCAAGATCCTCAGCTTTCATCTCAGTTGAGTTCTTAGCTGACAGCTCCAAATTCACAGGTATGTGATGCGGCCGTTTTGGAAGTCAATATCTCAGCCCTAAAGAAACAACCCAGCTGATGCCATGTGGAGCTTGATGAGCCTTCCCACCAAGTCCTTCCCAGACTGTACATTCATGAGCAAAATAAGTGACTGCTGTTTCAAACCACTAAGTTTTGAAGTAGGTTATTACACAACAATAGATAGTTGATTTTATATATATATATATAGCAAGAAATCACCACCACCACCACCCCCCCCCCGCCAGGGATGACGGCCATGCCCCAATCCCTTCTCCTCCATTCTCCTCTCGGGATCCTGGGCACACTCGCACATGCGCCCAACATGTCCTGTGTATTGGTGAATACTGGAGAGTGTCACAATAACTGCATGTGGGGGCTCATGCAGAAGCCTCTGCAGTGACCACTATTTGAAAACATGATTGACGGGACATAGTTGGGAGAAGAAGGCTAACATCTTCTGGAAATTCTAAATGTTGGGTTCTATATCAGGCCTTTTCACAGGTTTTATCTCAGTGCACACAAGGACTTGGAGCCTTTGGTTTTCTCTTGCCCTAGTGACTCTTCTGAAAATTTAAAGGGATTGGTTGACACATAGCTTAAAAAATATATGGAAAACATTGTGAAATAAATTTTCACAGCTTGTGCTGGCAAATGCAAATAGTAGATTACATTATCAAGTGATCTAGTAAAATATTCCGATTTCCAGATGAGAATAAAGAACAGAAAATGAACGTGGTTTGTCTTTTGTCTTACTTTTCAAAGGTGAAAAAGTGGATTCAATATTCCCTTCAGAAGACTATGAAGCAGTTACAAGCAAGTCCAGCTGCCTTGGTTCAACCCCCAGGTGTCAGTTAACAGTTGCATGACCTGGAGTAAGTTCTCTAATTTATCTGTGCCTCAGTTTCCTCATGGACAACCAAAGGATAGCAATTAAGGGGACTTTATGGCTTATCTTTTGCACCAGGATATTTCTGAGAATGAAAGAGTAATTTTAATAGTTAAATTAAGACAGCAGGCTATCCAGAAGATTATTATTATTTTTTTAAGAGAGATTTTGACTATAGGGCACATGCACTCGTCAGAGAGACAGAGAGAGACAGAGAGACAGAAAGTGAGAAATCACCCCCAGAGGGTGGGGGAGTGGCCACACCACAGCCCTTTCTCCTCTTGGGATTTTAGGCATGTATGCACACACACCTGGTATAAGTTTTAAGCCACTGGGTCTGGGACTCGAACTACTGTCAACTACGTGGAAGTCCAGCGATATAGCCATTACGCCATCTGCTGGTCCCAGGGAGATGGACTCAATGCCACAATCCTCCAACCTCTACTAGTTTTTGCCATAGGGTGGGCGCTATCATACCTGCCCTCCAGGGAATTCTAATATACACTCAAGTTTGAGAACTACTGTCCTATAGAGTGAAGTTTGGCTCTCTGTCCCCAAGCCCAGCCTTATCATTACAATGGTTTTCCACTGCCCTCTGAACACTACCCTAGTGAGTGATGACACTTGCTACTTTTCA